TATCAGATGCTCTGTGGCCGCGTGCTAACAGACGATTGAATAGATTATAAAATTCACGCCACATTGTAGATGGTGAAGAGCATAAACGAACAATACGATTGGAGAGAGACAGAGGGATGTTATTGATGACGTAACGAGGATGTGATGATGTATATTGCAAATATTGAAACGTGTTTGATGGCTTAACATATAATGGCGTTTCAAGACGATTTAGTGTTTTATTAATAATAATATTAACATCTAGGAAATTAACTTTTGTTGTACTACTTTTAAATGTATATATTAAGTTATTATTAGTCTGATTTAACAGATTAAGTAAATCTTCAATAATATTTTTATCAGTAGTAATCCAAATGCATAGAATATCATCAAGAAATCGAAAGAATCTTAATATTAAAGATGACGAACATTTCTTGATAAACCACTTCAATGCTTTCATTTCTTTCTTGAACACATATATATTGGCCTTCGGAGGGACAAGCTCCGTGCCCATAGCCCTGCCCATGCGCTTTCAATCAATCATATCATTACTTTCAATCAAAACTGGGTTTCTCGAGAGTACCCAAACAACCGCGGAGGTCCAAAAAGTTTCTAAATTACAGAAAATGTTCACGCATCCCTTCGGCTCGCGCTCGCAGCCAGGATAGGCGTTACACTTCTCTGATCCAACATAAAGCTCGAACGCAACCACCGCTGTGCACCCATGTCAATGACACTCATTACTGATTCTGTATATGTAAGGTGCACGCAAAGCAAAATTTTAGCAAAATCTTTTTTTCGATAAAAGACACATATTCGGATTTGCCAGAGCATGCTGATCATGAATATGACCTTGAAAGTTGAATAAAACTTTTTTTTTCGGGAGAAAAACGCAAAATACTGAAAAGGTCCAAAAACTTCGAAAATTCTTGGCCTTTCGAAAAACACTCATAACTTTTTATAGAAAGTAGCTACAGGCTCAAACTATTTTTTGTTCGATTCCTCGTCAAAAACTGGGTATATCCATACTAGTTTCAGACCCTTAGACCGTAATTTGAAATTTTGGCGCTGCTCGCGAAACCCGGAAAAATGAGACCCCTCCGTCAAAAAGCTATCTAGTCTTTTTGGTGCGGAGCTAACTCATTGAATTTGATGCCATTCGATAGCTCTATACTCCAGCTATAGCCGTAAGGAGGGTTTTTTGGGGAAAAAAATTTTTCGCCGAGAAAAGTCATTTTTTCTAAATAAGAGGCGAAAAACTCGGAATTCTGACCGTAATTCCCAATTTTCTCGATCAGAATTCAACTTTTGAGCAATAAAAATATCATTTTCGGAATCAGCATCAAAAACTGAGTCGATTGATACGTATGTCTATCCTATCTGACTACTTTCATTTTTTTCGAATTTTCATGTTGAAAAATTACCGAGATTTTCACTCAAAATTGAAAATCAATTAAAACTTACGAAATGCATATCAATCGACTCAGTTTTTGATTCTGATTTTGCTAAAATTTTGCTTTGCGTGCACCTTACGTCCGACACACTGCCACATGACTAAACGCATGTACGTCCGTCACACTGCCACATGACTATATGTATGTATTTCCGTCACACACGCTGGTCACTCTACGTATGTACGTCCGTTACACCCACTGGTCACTATATGTATGTACGTCCGTCACCCTCCCACATGACTATATGTATGTACGTCCGTCACACTCGCTGGTCGCCATATGTGTGTACGTTCGTGGCACTGCCACATGACTAGATGTATGTACGTCCGTCACACTCGCTGGTATATATACTTTGTTTCTTTTATGAAAGTTTTGACGCAAATATTCGAAAAGGAGCTGTATGGTAAAAAAATAGCTATGAAGAACTATTTGAAATCTGTATTATTGTACCATGTTTGCAGCAAACATCCTGAACTTGGAACAGTTTTCAAAAATATTGATTTCATTTATGAACAAGGTGCGCGCAATTATCCGCTTGCATTATTATTCTATGAACGTGCTTTAGAGCTCGTGCCAAATACCAAACATCCGAACTATATTCTATACAAAAGTATGATCATAACGCTCGAATTAAAACTGAAGAAAGTAAGAAGAAATATGTACTGATAAAAATGGGGATCTTCAGACCGAATATGCCTTCAATTATAATAAATCAGATTCTCATTTTATCTCATGCATCAATTAAATAAAATAGATGATACACATTTGTATCTGATTGAAATGATCGATGAAGTAACGTCCATGGAAAAACTTTCCCGTGGACGGGTGGCCCAGAATAAATCAGCCTCTCAGTATTTCCTCAATAACTTTTTCATTTGTGCGTCTCAAGGCTTGGATTTTTCTATAGTTGTATGCTCAAGATGATATAAATACTTAGCAATAAGTGGCACTACCATCGTCAATAAAATATTGTCTGAGAAAAGACTAATAAATACAATCAATAATATTGCAGAACGACATGATAGCCATTTATGCCATAATTTCAGAAATAAATCCATTCACAATGGATCAGCCACAGGAACAGATTAGTGTGTCACTAATTATTCTTGCCATTTATGAAGATCAGGTGTGTAATTAATACATCTGTTGAAAAGGGATTGTACTCTTCGCAAATCTACTCAATTGGTTGAAACAACTTGCACAAGCTGACAAAGCATTTAGCTCTCTTTTTTTCTAAAACAGTTTGGTTTGTGTGCTATGTAATTCGACTTTTCTACATGTCTGTTTCGATACATTATCAGTCAGACATTTATCGTTAAATGGCGCTGTAACAGAACGTATCTGATAAAAAGCAGTACATGAATTTTTACTTTCTACTATTGCCTTTTTCAAAAAACAACAGGGGTGGGCAAAATGCTTATAACTTTTTGGCTTCGTTTGGTCGACCATATAAAGCATAATAATGTAACAGAATATAAATGTGTAATATTCACCTGTGCGTGTTTGTGTTATGGACTCTTTTTGTTAGCACTGAATGACTAGCTTTCGGGGAAAGAAACTGTTCGCTGAAAAACATAGAAGAGATAGAAAGAAGTCAGTTTCAGCTTGTGCCAAAGAGCCTATAGTCTAACAATCACTTGACAAAGTGGAATGTCTCGACATTGCCAATGCAGCAAAATCAATTCTTTTTTTCATGGACATGCTACAAAGCTTTGTTAAATTTACCATTAATTAGTGAGCGTTTTGAAAAGACATTCTTTAATATTATTGATACAGCAATAAACGAAGGTCATCAAATACCTGAAGAAAATTTGAAACCACCGATTGAAAGACCACCGACATTTGTTACTTTAAATGCGAAAACATTTTTCGAAGGGCTCCATCTTGAAGGATCATCGTATAGAAATCCGACACATCTACCGTGAGAAACTGTGTAGTGGTCGTAAGTCTCCATCGGGCCCAATTTTTGGAGCTTATTTAAAAGGTAAATGCTTGCTTTGATCGATAAATACTCCGCCATCTGATCGAACAAGGGTCGAAGGCATTTATCTAAAAACTTTGAAATAGCCATGGGCGGGGATTTAATTCCCGAGATGATTGGACGTAGTGGAGTACCAAGCTTATGTGCTTTAGGAAGGCTTATACTCTTTTCCGTATATGCTCGAGCTGTCCTCTGACAGTCTTCTGAGGTTCCTAAATGGAACACTTTAGACTTGTTCAGTCTTCCTAAGAACGGATTTAGACTCATGCAAGCGTACTCCCAATCTCTTGATAAGTTGTGAACGAAGTTTGGTCTTATGACAGCTTTTCTGACTCTTTTCATGATGACACTTAATCAACAATTGATCGAGGTCTTTTATGAAAGGTCGTACCATAATTTGTCCGCCATGAACTCCTCTTTCTGCAAGATGGTCGCTAATCTTGCGGCGTGGCTTTTCGAGTTCTTCTGGTCTTCTAGACTCAGCTGTTTTAGGGTCATTTGGGGCATACTTGGGGCCTAATTTTAAAAGACTACGCTCATCTTCCGATAAGTCCATCCGACTTTCATTGATTGTAACGGGAGCATAAAACCTGGGCCAAACATAAGAGCTGCGGGTTGAAGTTCGTTTTATCGCGTCAGCACGGTAAATGTTGCTCTTATGTCCTCGATCCCTTGCAGCTCTTCTAAAAAAAGAAGGGCTCACTCCGAGGTTTTATTGAGTCGGATAGCTCGTGCTTCCAGACAGTTGTTGAAGAGTGCTCGAAACGATCCATCCTCTGGCACCTGAGCGTTCTCTTCACTACCTATTTAGCTAACACCTTCATATTTTTCTCTTTCATATGAAGGACTTCGAATTTCGGTTTTAACACAGCGGCTTGCGCCTTTTGATGTACGGTGGCTCGATTCTCAAACAATTGCAGGGCTGTGTAAATAGCTTGTTCAGTCACTACAACTGAGCATGCTGACAAAAGACGAATTACGTCAGTCGACGGCTGCTATTTTTCTTTAAACATACAGTCTAACGACTGATATATCAAAAAATAGTACCTCGGCATGTATATATATTTGTGTATGAATAGGATCATGCCATTCTCAGTAAGTTACTTTTCGAGCTCAGATGATATTGATCAGAGCAGAAAAGTAATACCTTCGGGTTCTAAACATTTGAACCGAAGAGTATTACGACCACTTGATGAGAGCGTTGAGCATCGGTCGAAACGCGTCGTGGTATGCTCAGGCAAAATGCTTCTGTTGTGTCTCAAAACAAACAGGAAGAAGTGGCGTTTTGTACTCCGCTGGAGAGTGTATAAAGTCAGTCCTAGTGTCTTCGCGAGTATTATGTGTCAGTTTTGATCAGTACCAGGAGATACTCTGAGATACTTTATGCCCCACGATAGTGAAGATGAAATACGCTTTTCCTTGTTTTCATTTTTCTAAAGATTTTTCGATACACATTTTGTAAATTCTAGACATCCTGATTAGTTTATTTCGGCTTCCCTTTCTTGTTATGCATAAAAGTAACTTTCAAAATTCAAAATTACTAATTAACAATAATTAGGATTTCTCACGCCTAAGGGATTGCGGCTAACTCTTTAATTTTATCACTTGTTAACACTCCGGTGTACAAGTAAACTTCATCAATTTGGCCGATTACCCAGTCAGCTGGCTGTCCACTGTTTAAAGCACGTCCGATTATCGTATCGTGAGAGGCTAGAAATCCACCGGCAAATGTTGTCGTAGATTGCAATTCTCCACTAACATAGAATTGGACTTGTTTCAATGACGTATCGGAAACAGCGACTAAATGATACCAAACATTTNGTCTTGACAACGGCTCCTGGAATGGCGATACAACCAGTACCATTCAGCATAAGAGCCGCAGTGCCGACTTTTGGCGGTCCGTAGGAAACTGTTCCGTTAAGAGTACCGTTGTGTCCATTACCCGACAAATCATCAGCTGTATTGTCAAATGGATAATAGGCTTGTAGGGTGTACGACGACGAAGACCCAGCTAACTCTCTAATTTTATCACTTGTTAACACTCCGGTGTACAAGTAAACTTCATCAATTTGGCCGATTACCCAGTCAGCTGGCTGTCCACTGTTTAAAGCACGTCCGATTATCGTATCGTGAGAGGCTAGAAATCCACCGGCAAATGTTGTCGTAGATTGCAATTCTCCACTAACATAGAATTGGACTTGTTTCAATGACGTATCGGAAACAGCGACTAAATGATACCAAACATTTGGAGAGACTGTAATTGCCGTAGCAGTAGCTCCAGCACCAGTAAACGTGTTCTGATCAGTTAAATATTGACTAAAGCTGAATAAATTGTTATCACCACGCAACTGGACATAAAATGCACTGATTTGTGTACCATCAATACTAACGAAGGTTTGAGAGGTATCCGTTGTTTTAAATTTGAAGATTTTAACCCATGCGGCAACTGAAAAGCTTTCATTGGTCTTGACAACGGCTCCTGGAATGGCGATACAACCAGTACCATTCAGCATAAGAGCCGCAGTGCCGACTTTTGGCGGTCCGTAGGAAACTGTTCCGTTAAGAGTACCGTTGTGTCCATTACCCGACATATCATCAGCTGTATTGTCAAATGGATAATAGGCTTGTAGGGTGTATAACAATGAAGTTGTTGCTGCTGTATGAGTTAAAAAGCCAAACAAGACAATATTACGACAAATCATTAATGACAGATCACTGTAAGGTGAAGGTAAGAATGTAGGATATCTTACAGATTCACGTTAAAAGTCTGCTGCGTATACAACCTTCATTCTTCCTTAATGGCTTAAGTGCTTCCTTCTTTCGATAAAAAAATACTTTTTGCACTAAATGATGCTCGACTAAATTATGCAGTTATGTGTTCTATTCCAAGGAAACAATCATCTCCTAAATGAGCCAGTGTGGATTTATGTGAACTACACAAGTAATTAACTCGTCAAGTGATAAATCAAAAGATGTGTCTCACTTTCTGCCTGAACCAAACTAATCATTAATGGATACGAGCATGAGCGTTCCCCTTGTCTCCTGTTTTTCTTTCCCAAGAATTTCAGTTTTAAATTCAGTACTTTAGATCATAACATCCAAAGCTTATCTTCTCAGAAGGAGGTACTAGCAGACGTAATGAATTAGCGCAAACCACTGCTTATTAGTCTCCCAGACATTTGTAATATTTGGGACATTGAACTATTACTTAATGAGTATTCGCCCTCGCGCAAGGACAAAGTCGACATGAAGGCGGTGTTGGTATATATACTTCTGACACTCTAGAATATAACTTTGTTGCTGGTAACTTAAAAACTGAGTCAGTTTTGGTTTCGTATTTTGTCAACAGTCTTACATACTTCATATGCATTTTATGTCGTGCTTCTAAAATATGTTGTCATTCAAGTCAAGTGTTGTCATTATTTCATATGTTTGTCATTCAAAGTCTCTTCTGCTATCAATTTATCGTTAACCTGGGAAGCTATTTTATTATCAGGTGACTTTAACGCAATCTGCTTCATCGAATCCAACATGGATTCGATGGTTCGTTGTTCTATGATCCCTTTGTGCATCTTTCTGATATATATATCTGTTTTTGATCTGCTTTTGTTTGGATCTTTTGAGGTTTGGAAGATTCGAGTGGTCATATTTTGAACAATGTTTATTTTAATTGATTTGCTGTGTCGTGTCTCGTAGTTAATGAATCTGTCTGCTGCTGTTGATTTTCGAAACCACCGTACTTTAATCTCCATTTTGTTGTCGACGTTCTTTTGGTTACAGTTGTGTCAAGGAAAGAAATTTTGTTATTTTGTTCATATTCATAAGTGAAACGAATATTTCCCCTGACTATGTTCAATTTTTCCACGTATACGTTTAATTCATTTTCATTCATTTTTGTTATTCTTAGAATGTCGTCAACGTATCTGAAGATTTTGTTATCGATGTTGACTTCTTTTAAATGTTCTTTCAAATAATAAGCCATGTAAATGTCAGTGATGAGAGGTGAGAGAGTGTTACCCATTGGAAGACCTTTGAATTGACGATAGAACTTCTTATTAAATTGAAAATAACTGTTATAAAGAGAGACAAGGATCAATCTTTTAACATCAGTCTTCGTCAATCTTAAATTACCCAGCTTCTTTGTTTCAGCTAGTCGGCCAATTACAATATCAACTGCACGAGCGACAGGAATATTCGTAAATAATTCTTAAATGTCCAGACTAGTCAGATTTTCATCGTTATCAATTGGAAGATTATTAATTTGTTGAACAAATTTCGATGCATTCATTACAATTCCTGACAACGTCGATCTCAAGTCTTCAATGATGTTAAAGACGAATTTCGAAACAGGAGAGGTAATTGTTTGTCGTGAACATGTTATAATTCTCATTGGATTATTTGGCTTATGTAATTTTGGTTGACCTCGAACTGTTGGTAGGTCTTCAATTCCAATCAGTTGGTAGTGTTGTGTCACATTAATTTTGTCCAGATCAAAGAGTTTATCAGCTTCAGTTTTGATCTCCATAATGTGCTTAGTAGGATCTTTCTTCACTTGTTCATAAACTGAAGGATTATTCAATTTTTCTTTCGCTTTAGCAATGTAATCGTTTTTGTCCATCAGAACCGTCTTGCCACCCTTATCCGCCTGCATTACCACCACCTTATCATTTGATTTTATCTAATTCAATAATTTTATTTCTTCTTTTGTCATGTATGATTTCTTTGACTTCTTCCATTTTTTAATGAATTCTGTTATTGCAGCAATTGCAGCTGTTTCGAAGACCCAATATTTCTTGCCAACTGCATTCTCTGCGTTGTGACTATTGATCGTGCAGGTGGTACAAACTTGAGTCCTTTGGATAACACTTGCAGATGTTGTTTACTCAGTTGTACAGTCGATAGATTCACTACGTTGAAGGTTGGAGATTGTAACACACAAGGAGTTATACATGTTTCTTTCGTTTTTGTTTGTAATTTTTCCTGTTCCAGCTGTTTCTGTTCCTTTTTCAGTTTCTCTAGTTTCTTCTGATGTTTCTCAAGTAATTTATCTTTAAAATTTCGATAACTGTAAGACTTCATTACATTTCGCTACGATTTTACCAAGATATCGATTGCGTTTTCCAAAATTTTTGCTAGATTCGGTAAGAGTCAGTTAACATTTACTAAAAATTACCTAAGAGAATATGTTGTTCTAATTTTCTTTTGTTTTTATATAATTTCTGAAGGTTGGTTTCGATGGCATACGTTCTCTCTTGATAAAGGAAATACAAAAAGATTTCCAAAAATACAAAAGATCAAAGACGGTAATAGTGATACAGGAAATGTTTAATAACCCGACTTAGCCACTTTACCGTCTTGGTTTCCTGTATCACTATTATGTGTATCAAAGAAGAAAACAGAAAAAAGAAATAACTCTTATATATATGCCCCTGTAATTTCGTTTTGTGTATTTAAGAGTCTGCAGAAGTCTTTCAGAGAAAGACGAAACGTAGCGGTCAGAAAATTTAAATTAAATAATAAAGGAAGAGAATCAAAAATGAACTCAGTTGAATCAACCTTCATAACAAGAAAAGAATTTCTTTTCGTATGTTTCGTTTATATATTATTTTAATAAATTTTGGAAAGAGCAAAAAACAAAAGTAATAAGATAGGATAAAAAAGTGCTTCATTCGACTCAGTTTTTGACGCTGACGCCGAATGGGATATTTTTATTCTATAAAAAGTGAGGTCTGATACAGAAAATAGAGAATTACAGGCAGAATTGCGACTTTTTCGTCCTGATTTAGAAAAAAATGTATTCTCTCACTATTAAAGCAAAATAAAAGAAAAAGCGCTAAGTTTAAAACCTTACAAAATCTGGTTTTGGCTGAAAACACCAGTTTGAAGCGGATTTCTGTTCCGTATCGGAAAGCTAGGGCATTTTTGAGTATATCTAGGTGGTTTTGAAGGTTTCCATACCAAATCCAAGGGAAGAAAACCTGTTTTTAATGAACCAGGTCGCTGACGCCATCTGTCAGTAAAATCGATTTTTTTCGATCAAACTTAACTATTTTCCAGTTTTTATCTGATATTCACAATCAGCATCAAATTCTGACTCGAATACAGTATCTTTAGAAAAATTCTGAGTTAAAACTCTTTTCGATGTTCCAAAGATGGGTTAGAGACTACAAAGTTTCCGAAAAATTGAAAATGTTTTTTCCAAGGTGCTATATAGCTCATTCGACGCAGAATTTCACGCTGATTCTGAATATGTAACTCTTGTTCAGAAATATCATGCGAAATTTTGACCTTTGTAAGCCCCTGTCCTTTGTGTAAGATATTAGATATTCAGACCACATCCGAAAAATAACAAATAGGTAAAGAGAATTTCGCATGGATCCACATGCAGGCACTTAAATAACATCATATTCTATACATACTACTTGTACTAGCTGAAACAAAACCCAAATCAAACAGTATTACTGTATAATGAAATAGATTATTTTCCTTTGAAAACATGCATATTCAGACTTTATATATAACTGTTATGAAACATTGCGTCTTACTTGAAGTTACTGTTGATGTCGTTAAAGTTGATGTCGCACTGGTAGATAAACCTAGCATAAACATCGTGCATTTTACATGTAGAAGGAGTTTCAGTTCACATCGGTTCATGTTACGACTCCTCGAGAAAATGGTCCGATCGAGCTCAAAAGCACAACGGACGGTTTCTGCAAGAAAACCGCCCTATATATTTTGAGAAGATAACGACTGGGACTGATCAGAAACCTTTTGTTATGTATGTACTTTATCTGCGCCTTAAAAGTTGATTGTAGACTAACATATGTTGAAGTCTTTAATCATTTCTGAGCAACGGTCCAGAAAGTCTGTTCGACTGTACTAATGCATTTTTCTCTGAAAGCCTCAGGTTCTTAATAGAATCTTATACACGAAACATGCGTAATTAAACGGGCTTTAAAATGATATGTAGCACACATTTTCAGACTAATGTCTTCATAGATGTATTGGACATATACTTGACAGGTACGTCGACTTTTACCCGTAGTCCCGACAAAAAATGATTCTACTTTTGTCAGCGCATTCAGACCCGGAATGATTTATACATAGAAAGATGTAGAACTGAAACGGCTATACAATGCGGTATAACACATTGTTTCGAATGTTTGCCTTCGTAGATGTATTGATCAAATACTTGACAAGAAGCTCGATTTTACCCGTAGCGGCAAACAGAAATGATTATAGTTTCTTTCACAGATAGAGATTCTGCTGTGAACATTTTCACAGCAGAATTGAAATAGAACTGAGTACGGATCCAGAAGAACTGAACAAGAAATGTTGTGTTGATTACTCACTCTCCTGCGTCGCCTGAGTTCCGCTGAATCTGTATTCAGTTCCATTGTTATTCTGCTGTCAAAATGTTTAATTCTGCTTAATTTCATTAGTCTACGTACTTTTCTACATTCAATTCTGGCTCACTATTTCGATTCTGCTGTGTGCTGCTTCTGAATGTGGAAGCATTCAGCCACTACTGGACTATAGTGCTGTAAGAAAAAAGAGCAGAATTTAACGAGCTTGAAATTGAAATTTGGAAAGTATGCTTTACGGCATTTATATACTAAATACTACATGAACATCATGACTTTTACGTATGATAATATTACAAAGAAAATGTGACAAGGCTATTCTTAATAAAATCGTAGTATTTTACGTATATAAACACCTGGACGTACACAAATAGATAGAATGATGCATCCCGCTTTAACGCTTGTTATCGTGGAATGTTAAGTTGTATGCAAGCGTTCTTTCATGTCATGATATTTTGAACTCCCCCAGAAAGACAGAGAATTTCGCTTTCGTTCTTCTTCTGGTATCTTAGCTGTTTAAGTTTCTAATAGTTCTGTCCGCAATTTTTTAGGGACAAAAGATTATAGCAAGAACCTAGTAGAAGACGAATGAGGACAGCATTAATAGACAAGTAAGTAAGTCTGTGAGTAAAATCCTAGTATTTTCCATCCACGCGCTTTCAGACAGTAATATTGTATAATGAAATAGATTATTTTCCATTGAAAACATGCACATTTAGACTTTAAATATAACTCTTATGAAATATTGAATCTTAGCACCAGGTTCGTTTTTCTCTCTTATAAAACATTGAGTATCACTTAAAGTTACTGTTGATCTCGCGAAAGCTGATCTTGCACTACTAGATAAATCAGGCATAAACATCGCTCATTTAATCTGTAGGAGGAGTTTCAGTTCACATCGGTTCACGTTACGATTCCTCAAGAAAATGGTCCCATTGAACTAAAAATGTTACCACAGATAATTCAGACCTTTTCCCAGGTTCCTTTTCCTGTCGTCAAACATTGAGTCTTACTTGAAGTTACTGTTGAAATCGTTAAAGCCACTGTTGATGTCGTTAAAGTTGATGTTGCACTGGTAGATAAACCTAGCATAAACATCGTTCATTTTACACGTAGAAGGAGTTTCACCTCACATCGGTTCACTTTACGACTCCTCAAGAAAATGGTCCGATCAAGCTCAAAATGTTACCGTAGATACTTCAGACGCCATCCCAGCTTCCTTTCTCCTGTCATCAAGCACTAAGTCTTACTTGAAGTTACTGTTGATGTCGTTAAAGTTGATGTTGCACTGGCAGATAAACTTAGCATAAAAATCGTTCATTTTACATGTAGAAGGAGTTTCAGTTCACATCAGTTCACGTTACGACTCTTCAAGAAAATGGTCCCATCCAGCTCAAAATGTTACCATACATACTTCAAACCCTATCCCAGGTTCCTTTTCTCTGTTATCAAACATTAAGGCTTACTTGAAGTTACTGTTACTGTCGTTAAAGTTACTGTTGATGTCGTTAAAGTCACTGTTGCTGTCGTTAAAGTTGATGTTGCACTGGTAGATAAACCTAGCATAAACATCGTGCATTTTACATGAAGAAGGAGTTTCAGTTCACATCGGTTCACGTTACGACCGCTCAAGAAAATGGTCCGATAAAACTCAAAATGTTACCGCAGCACAGTGGGCATTTCCTCAGAGAGCAGGCGGCATTTTTTGCCGACATAGTTTTTTTGAATCCAAAAGCACTTTTTTATAGGTTTTCGCATACGGTATTTCCAGCAGTGTGGCAA